AAAAAAAAAAAAAAAAAAAATTATAAAGTTTTTTAAAAAAACTACTTTAAATGCAATTATCTATTTCAGTACAGTAGTTGATGCCCCCTCCTCTTTATTTATTTTTATTTTTTTTTTTAGAGACAGGATCTTACTATGTTGCCCAGGTTGGCCTCCAACTCCTGAGCTCAAGCAATCCTCCCACCTCAGCCTCCCAAGTAGCTGGAACTACAGGTCTGAATCACTGCATCTAGCTCCTCCTTTATTGTATCATTCTTACCACCTTGACCTTTAAAAAAAAAAAAAATGAACTGGGTTGGGCACAGTGGCTCATCCCTGTAATCCCAATACTTTGGAAGGCCGAGGTGGGTGGTTCACTTGAAGTCAGGAGTTCAAGACCAGCATGGCCAACATGGTGAAACCCCATCTCTACTAAAAATAAAAAATGTAGCTGGGTGTGGTAGCATGCACCTGTAATCACAGCTACTCAGGAGGCTGAGGCAGGAGAATTGTTTGAACACGGGAGGCAGAGGCTGCAGTGAGCCAAGATCGTCCCACTGCATTCCAGCCTGGGGGGTAGAGCAAGACCCTATCTCCAAGAAAATAAAAAAATTGACTGAAGACTTCTTGACTTCACTGCATTTATTCTCCAAATCTGGCTCCTCTATTTCTTAATTGCATGACTATGCATAAGTTACTTATCATGTGTAAGTTACTTAACCTCTCTCTGCCTCAGGGTCCTCATCAGTGAAATGTGGGGAATAATAGCACACCTACCTCACTGAGTAGGTGTGAGGATTAAATGAAGTGAGAGATTCAAAATGCTTGAAATAGTGTCTGGAATGTAATAAGTGCTCTGTATGTGTTAGCTGTTATCTCCAGTTCCCCGCATAGTTTCTGGCACATAGTAGGTGCTAAATAAGTGTGTGTGGTTTAATGAATGAACTTACATTAAAGACTCATGGGAAGACAGGATGGGGAATGGAGAGAGGGAGGAAGCACCCAAAGTCTCACTCTTGTCCTCCAGGCTAGAGTACAATGGCATGATCTCGGCTCACTGCAACCTCTGCCTCCCAGGTTTAAGCCATTCTCCTGCCTCAGCCTCCCAGGGAGCTGGGATTACAGGTCTCTGCCACCATGCCTGGCTAATTTTTGCATTTTTAGTAGAGAAAGGATTTCACCATTTTGGCCAGGCTGGTCTTGACCTCCTGGCCTCAGGTGATCTGCCCACCTCAGCCTCCCAAAGTGCTGGGATTACAGGCATGAGCCACCGCGCTCGGCCACATATATATTTTTTATATTTACTCCTCCCAGCAATCCTCTGAGGCAGAAACAATTATAAATCCCATTGTACACCTGTTGAAACAAAGGTTCACACATTTTAGGAAATGAGGTCACACAGCTAGTAAGAGGAAGGGTTTGCTGGGATTTGAATCCAGATCTGAGAGTGAGGCTCGAGCACTTAATCACTGATCTATATTTCTGTATTTCAAAACGGGTGCATATGCTCTTCATACCTCCTAACAGAAAATGAGAGAGTAATCAGCAGCTCCATTGCCTACCTGGTCTCTTCCCAGAGATGGAAGGAGCAGTGCTTAGCAGCTTTTTGCCTTGCTTGAGGAAGAGGTTCCGGAAGAAGCTGTTGCCAGGCTCCTGAGAGTTCCAAGCACCTTAAAATTCTGGGACTTGAGTACCTGATCAACACAGTTTCTCCTTTTGCACCTTTGAGGAAAAGCTTCTGTCCTGTGCTCAAAGAAGCAGCCAAGGTGCTAAGAACGACCCCCCACCCCCACCAGTCCACTCAGCCCTGTTAAGTGACCTGTGTCCAGCCCTGTGACTACATCTGTGAAAAGCACTATTCTGGAACCAGGGGAAGATGCTGGGCTTGGGATGAGGGCTGGGAACCCATGAAGGGGAATGGAATAAAGGGGGCAACCCAGGCACGATGACCAGGAAGAGTGCAGAAAGTGAGATGCTTCATTGTTTCTCAATGCCTTTAGACCAGAGAGGGGTAGATCGATCGTTGGATATGAAGGTGTTGGATTGATGGGGATGGGGATGAACTCTAAATGTGGCTCAAAGATCCGTAAATGCCAAGCTCCAGCTGCCTCCTTTTCCAGATGCACCTCATCTCAGCAGCACCCCCATCTCCCCTTGCCCCACAACAGAGTACTCACCTCTGCCCTCTGGTGCCTGAGTGCACATTGCCTTTGCGAATGGACTCTCAGGTGGGAACCATCCAGGACTTCCAGCTGCTTCAGGAAACCTGACCTCTTCTTTACAGCCCCCTGTCTGTCTGTCTATCCTTCCCTTCTCAGTCCCCACCCCATCGGAAGCACAATTTCCCATTGTCTCTCTCTTTTCCCCTATTGTTGAATAACAGGGCCCCTTTCTTTATTCTGTGGGCAATGGCAATGAAATGTCAACAGCTGGGGATGTGGGATGCAGGACCGGCTGGCACATACCACCGGAAAAGGGCCTGGGTGGGGGGCGGGCTCAGAACAGGAATTGACATCTCCAAGAGAAGAGAATAGGGTGAGGGGCAGACAACGGATGGTGGAAAGGTTGAAATGGAATCTCTCTCAATAGTTCAAACTGCAGGACTCTAAAGGGATTTTGTCTGCGGCCAGAGGAAAGGCTGGGCTCCATGAGGGCAGAGGGAGTGGCTAGCATTGCAATAGGAGAGATGGAGATTAGACGGGAAGGAGGATTTTTCTGTCCTTGGGGAGGAACATGAGAATTTCTGAGGATAGCAGGACTTTGGGAATCTCTCCAAAACAGAGGTTATCTTATTGCTTCCCTAATTTTCTACCTCTTCCCTCAGCACAAATAGATAACCTTTTTAAAGTACTCAGAAGGACGTCCTTAATCTTCCTAGATGGAAATTCATTTAAAGAGACAGGGGTCTCCATCTGTTGCCCAAGCAGGAGAGCAGTGGCCCAATCACAGCTCACTGCAGCCTCAAACACCTGGGCTCAAGTGATCTTCCCGCCTTCGCCTCAAAATTAGCTAGGACTACAGGTGTGCACCACCACACCCAGCTAATTTTTTTTTTTTTTTTTTATTTTGAGACAGAGTCTGGCTCTGTCACCCAGGCTGGAGTGCAGTGGTGAAATCTCGGCTCACCGCTACCTCTGCCTCCCGGGTCCAAGCCATCCTCCTCTCACCTCAGCCTTCTGAGCAGCTGGGACTACAGGTGTGCGCCACCACGCCCATCTAATTTTTGTATTTTTGTAGAGATGGGGTTTCACCAAGTTGCCCAGGCTGGTCTCGAACTCCTGGCCTCAAGCAATCCGCCTGCCTCGGCCTCCCAAAGTGCTGGGATTACAGGCATAAGCCACTGTGCCTGGCCTAATGAAGTCCATTTTAAAAACTTTCTCATTGAGGCATAATTTACATACAAAAAAGTGCATGGAAATTATGTGTACAGGTAAATGAATTTTTATCTGTGTACATATGATGTACACAGGTAAAAACCCACCAGATCGAGATACAGAACATTTCCAACAAGGCCAAATAGGCCTGATTGTTCTGTTTTCTATCAATGCAGAGGGAGGATTCCCTCCACCTGCCCCTGTAAACAGCCGTTTAGAAATGTTGTGAGCTTTAAGTTGCATTTTAGCCTTATTTTCTCTCTGTTGAGCAGCCCCATGGAAGTAACTTTGCATTATTAAAAACAAGTAATTTCATGTTCTGTAAGTTAAAAATTTTTTTAAAAAGAGTCCGGGCACTATGACTCATGCCTGTAATCCCAGCACTTTGGGAGGCCAAAGCGGGTGGATCACCTGAGGTCAGGAGTTTGAGACCAGCCTGGTCAGCATGGTAAAACTCTGCCACTACTAAAAATACAAAAATTAGCCAGGCGTGGTGGTGCACACCTGTAATCCCAGCTCCTCAGGAGGCCTGAGGTGGGAGAATCACTTGAACCCGGGAGACAGAGGTTGCAGTGAGCTAAGATGGCACCACTGCACTCCAGCCTGGACAACAGAGTGAAACAAAGTGAGACTCCATCTCAAAAAAAAAAAAAAGAACCATCCCCTTTCAGAACTGGAGGAGCCCTCAGGATGCTGAACATTTACTAGAGGAGGAGACAGAGGAGATGGAGAGGAAGGTGGCCTGCCCCCAATCACACACAGTCGTTGAGTCAAACCTAGAAGTTCCCGCTTTTCCCACTAATCCTCTTCTGCCTCTCTCCTTGGCTGTCCAGTTCAGACAAGTTCCAGGTTTTCACTTGGGCCATATCTAATAAGAGGAAGCCCACCCTGAATATATATATATTTTCTTTTTTTGAGACTGGGTCTCATTCTGTCACCCAGGCTGGAGTGCAGTGATCTGATCACAGCAGACTGCAGCCTCGACCTCCCAGGCGCAAATGAGCCCTCCCACCTCAGCCTCCCGAGTAGCTTAGTGCACAATGTGCAATACCACACCCGGCTAACTTTCAAAAATTATTTGTAGGCCGGGCGCGGTGGCTCAAGCCTGTAATCCCAGCACTTTGGGAGGCCGAGGCGGGTGGATCACGAGGTCAAGAGATCGAGACCATCCTGGTCAACATGGTGAAACCCCGTCTCTACT